TTCCCAGCGGGAAATCCCGCGCTCCCGCGGATACGTCGGGGCGAACTCTCCGTGCGGGAGGTGCTCCCGAGTGAAGACGCCGCGCTCCGCTGAGACCGCAGACACGGCGTGCACGTACCGCTCGTCAAGTGGCGCTAGCTCGGATCCAAAAGTCAGCTACTTCAGCAATATGAAATCAAGTGCTCGCCCTCCTGTTCTTGCGGACATCTTCGCCCGTCAATCACTGCCCTCCGACTGAGAAAGGCGGTCTCCATTTAGGGCTTAAGGTGCATCTGCAGGTGCCTCGCCGTGTACGGACGGAGTTTACAAACGCAAGTACTGCAGGGCAACGATCACAAACTGCACTGGTTTCTCAGTGATCTTTAAAATTCGTCCTCTTATGCTACAGGCACATCCGATACCATGACGAAGTCAAATCTTTGGATGTAATTCCTCTGGAACCCCACTGTCATCTCTGGCAAACTCTCGCACGGTTTCGATGTAAAGTAATACAGGCTTCTTGTATTATGGGGTCTGTGCATGAAATCATTCTCTAAATAAGAAATATTATGTATTGCTACTTCGTGTACAAGTAAAAGAAGCCAGCACAACTGAATTTGCCATTACAAAGATCACTTTTGTGAGCCACCTGGCTCATTTATTAAATTTACAGACAGATTCTGTTCTGTTACACTGAGAGAGCTTCAATTCAGCCAACTGGCTTGCACTGGCATAACAAAAAGTAGCCTTTGGTCCATTAAGCATTAAAATGGAGTGCTTTTCCATGGATTATTTTTCATCTCTTGTGCATGTTACAAATAATATTTTTTTTATAAAGTGATAAAGATTAAATTGCTCTTATTTCCACAATTTAAATTGATGACAGCAGCTGTCATCCTGTTGTCATAAATAAGTATTTCTCACTCTGCAGCCTGGAAAGGGGGAGGAATGCACCAACACACCTGTTATTTGGGTTTTAGCTAACATCAGTAATATTGAATTTTTTTCCAATTATTTTCATCATACTGAAAATTCATCTTATTTTATCTGAGATAAATGGAGGCTCCACCATTGGGTTATACACACAAACATACATTTATCTCTATATATCTTAATCTCCAAAGTACAGCAAACAGATCACTAAGACTTCTGCAACTCATGATGTGTAAAAAGCAAAGAATTTTTTTTTAGGCCTATCATTGGAGTCCAGCTGTTCAAGGAGTCAGTTGCCTCTCATTTCTTCCACATTCATATAAAAACTCGTTCTCAAAGAATAAGGGGTTACTTTAAAAAGGTAACACCAAATCTAATTAGAAATGAAACTGCTGATTCTGTGTGTTTCCCTAGATTTCATTAGTGGCACAAGGGTTTTGGTGATTAGGCTGAGAGCAGAAGAAGTGTATTCTTATCTACACAGATCTGCACAAATGCTATATTAATAATTGGAGTCTCTTTTATAACTGTGAGGAATGACACAACCACAGTAGAGCTAAGAATGTTCTAGACTCAAACCTGTCAAATTTATGCTTCAATCAAATGAATGCCTATGATGTCTATACCGAGGACCTCCATGTATGTATTGCCTCTGTGTGGTGTTCAAAAATGACTGGACTTTACCCCAAAAGTAGACACAAAAGTAACTGCAAAAACTTTGGGGAAATATATTTACAACCTACATATAAAAGTGTCAATTGATTTCCTTCAAAATATCCCTAGTGTACTATTGTTACACAGATGGCTGTAAACAGAAGGCTAAAAAACACCAGTGCTGGGGGCTAAGTCAGGTTTTCCAATCAACATGGCATTTACTCTTCTCAAAACTTACAACCTGAAATCTTCCTACATGAAAATTAAAGAATTATTTCACTAAACAGTAATGAAATATTTTTAGTGGAACACTTGTGCCAACAGCCAAAACTGGTTAATGTTGTTCAAAATCATGTATTTTAGGAGTATATGTATAAATCAGATTGGCTTTTCAATTTGAAGCAGTTTTTTTTTAAAATAATATATGGAGAACTCTGAAATTTAATAATAGAAATGAATAGTTTAGATAATATTACTGCTTTAAAACTTAGGTTAGTAATAGTAATTTAACAATTTTTCTGTACTACTGAAGGAGGAGACTGCAATTACTTACAAGTATCTCTAGAGTACTGATAACAGTACAGATTAATTTGGCTGTTGCATGCCTGTTCTTGTATCATTCTTTAATGAGTGTTGTCAAAATCTTTGTTACTTAGCTAACTGACCAGTGCAGAAATTATTTTGGCAAAACTAGATACAACTGTATCATAAAAGCTAATAAGCTACTAAATTCAGCAGAGCTAATCATAATGGGAAGAGTTCTGAATTTTGTAAATTTCCACTCAAATTCAGAATTAGTAATTTCACATAGTTTTCACGAATCAAGTCTATGCAGATCTCACTCCTTTCCTCTTGGCCCCATCAAAAAACCCAGCCACATTTGATGAGGGCAGAGGCTTTTCTCAAAGATCTACAAACTATCTGGTAATATATAGCTGGAGAATTTATTGTTTGAAATAGCAATTAGAACAGTCTCAAGGGGCATCTTCTGAGCACAAGACTGCAGACAAAACCACAGACAATATATTCCTCTGTAGAAAAATATCACTTCTCTATCCCCACAACAAAAAGAAAAACAAAACCCCACACACACAAAACCACACAAACACCGCCCCCCCAAAAAAAACCCCCAAAAACAAAAAAAAAAAAAGTAAAAAAAAAAAATTCTTCCAGGTGACCCTCTGTAACTTTTCCACATGGAAATACAGAGCTTTTGTTCCAGATCACAAATGCTACTACAACACAGGGGATCAGTAATATTCCCCATGCCTCAACACAGGTTGCCAATAGTCATCGTAACTGTGGGCCTGCCAAATCTTGTTTATTCTTCCTCATGTGTTTGCTTTCTACATTTCAAACATCTTCACGTAAGGAAGTTCACACTGAGTAAAATTCTTCTATGGCAACATAAACTCTTCACCCCTCCTGTATTTCAGGAGATTTAGGAAGAAACCTCCTTGAATTTTCTCTCCTAGTATGCTATAGATAGTTTTTAATTGTCAGCAGCTTCAGACTGCTACTAGAAAAGTTTGTGAAAACTCTGAGACTGCTTTGGACTAAGAATTATTAACCAGCATCTAAAAAGTTAAAACTACTTTCTTTGCCAATAATGATACTGGTCTCCTCTTTTACAATTCTTTTACAGGAATGTCACGATTTTGACATTTAATTGACAGAAACAGCACTATATGGAGAAAATGTAAGAAATGACACATACCTAGGCCATCTTATGTAAGCCTGTGGATAATTTGTTTGCCTGACAGGACTGCATGATATGGAAATGTTCCCACCACTCCAGGAGCTGTGCTGTGTCCAAGTCAAACAAATGCCACACAAACAGTGAAACCTTGCTTTCTCTAGATTGACATGTTGAAACTGAGCCTAATACGATTGGTTTCAGGCTGCAGCTTATGCCTCTGCAGGGACATTAGCACAGTCTCCCTGCCTGGCTGCTTGTTTCCCTGAATGTACAATTTAGATGAGATCTATACCTCATGGTCAAATTTGCTGACAGATAAGCATGCCCACTGAAAGCACAAGTGCACAAATCTTAGGTGGTTTTTTTTTCGAGCAAGATTATGTATTTTCATCACACCCACTATACTCAGAAGTTTGACAGAGCTAGTCGACTCATTCCTATGTTGGCATTCCTTCTTAAAAAAAGAATAGGAACTACAGGAATGACAATAATCCTCCATAGATTACTTCTACTCTTCACTCAGATCATTCTGTTAAAGACTACACAATGTACTCACATCCAGCTGTAACACACACACATGAAACATGGAAATGAGAATACAGGTATACAGCTAAGATTTGTAGTTAGTTTTTCATCACCTACAAAATCTTCCTGAAAAATGTACTTCCTCCCTGTAGCTTACTATTCTTTATTTTTTTACTGCATTCTATCTTTCTTGCTTTTTTCCTCCCAGTAACTGTGAAAATATTGCTGTATTTTCTTATTAAAAAATTTACCTTTTTTTTCCACTATACTGAATTTGACATATCGTTTTGCCATTCACAGGCCATCATCACTTCCGAGATAACCCTAGACGTTCGTAGGTACTTTTCAAAAGATATTTGCACCCGTTGCCACAGACTTGATTGTAGCTTGTGGTTTTAAGGCAGACATCAGTAGATGGGGAACAAGATGTCCGTGAGGCATGACTTGCAAGGAAGCATAACTTGTGTCAGGCCTAATGACAGCAGGACAGAGCAGGGGTGAGAGTGTACAAGCTCTTCACGGTAGGAGGCCTGACAAACCACAGAACTCACGTGCCTGGTACTTGGCTGCTTTCTGTACTTACATCAGGTGGTTTACTGAAAGTTCTTATCCACAGCTGTGCCTTGCTGTATCACTTAAATCTGGACTACCACAAGATGTTCCATTGCTCAACAGGCGCTGCCCTCCCACTGCTGCTGTTTGCCAGACTTAAACAGAAGTTTGTGACATATCGATTCCTCTGGTTTACTCTCCTAACTTTAGGAAGGACTCATTCAAAAGTTAATTTGGAAAAATAAATAAAGGCAAAAGTTTCAAGGACAAAAAGTTTCATAGTAAAAATCCACATTTCAGATTACTGAAATCTAGGTAATGAACTTAACAGCTGGGATTTATCAAATTTCTCCTAACGGGAAATGTGAAGCCACCCTGTTTTACCATGTCTGTTCACTTAAACCAGTCCATAATAATCTCCAAGATCCATTTTTACACAGTTGATGCCCATAGATCATTACTTCTGTCTACAACCAGAGTCCATAAACTCAATTCTGGCAAATAAGAGCTGGCTAAAAAGCACCAATGGAAGTAATACAATAAAACTTTCAGGACTTGATCAGTTTCAGGCCAGAGGCAAGTTTGGTAATTGCAGATTTGCTGCATCTACTAAACGACTCTCTCTCTCTCTCATGCACCCAGATCTGTGCCTACGCTAGAGAACATCACAGAGTCATGAGGAAGAGGTGACTCTGATGTGCTTTACTTAATTCTTATTTAAGAATACAGAATACTGTTTTTAGTTCCTGTGTTCAAGGCTTTCTTTGCTTGTACACAGAAAGAAAATATTATTGCTTGTAAATGAAACTGTCAACATGTGTAACAGCAGTGTTTATTATGAAATAATAGATGTTTGTTCCTATGACAACCACACTGAAAAATTAAATATAGAGGCCAGAATCTTCATGACCCCAACAACCTGTAAACTGTGATTATCTCTCTCCCCAGTGCGTGCTTGTCCTCCTTGATAAAATTTCATAACATCATGGCAAAGTTCTTTATAAGAAAGAAGCTTAGTAGACACTCACAGCTTAATAATATGCTGTTGGGTTTTGATTGCAATTGTAAGACTGCTTCTTCTGCAGATCTTCCCTGAAACTGATTTCACACAGAAATCCTATATTAGGATTTTTACGTTTGGGGTTTTTAGACATTTTTATACCACTAGAAAAGTAGCATTCCTAGATTTAAATCAACACTAAAACATAAAATAAGACTGAAAGTACCCTAGAGTTTAGAAAACTGTGATAAGCTACATTCAGTTCTGCTATTTTAGCCAATACTTATGTATAAAAAGAATATTTTTTGATTGCCTCTTAAAATTATCCATTATATATTTTTACAGCCAATTCCTTATCCTTCTAATATGGCAGTAAAAAGCTGAACCTCGACTGACTTCTGATACAAGTATTTCAAAGGTAAAGAAATAAAGTACCCTCTGTAACTAACATAAAGGGTTCTGAGCTGAAAACTGGGTGAACATTATGACTTAAAAATATGATAGTTTACTTCTAATTTTTACAGTCCTTTGTGTAGCCCAAGCACATGACAGTGCTTGATTCTTCTGAGGTTTTATGGCTTTTCTAAATTCTTGTGATGGAAACTTTTTTCCAGAATCAAAGGTACAAAATGTAAATAAATAAAATGAATTCACTTTAATCTGCTGAACAGAAACAGTTTCTTTGTGAGAAGTACAAGCCACTTGTGATAAAGTATGGAGTACTGATACTGGGAGCAAACTATGGCAATGTAAACATTAACATTAGCTGTTCTGCTGATTTCTTCTCAAATATCTAGCTAACATATTGCTCCACTGCTGCTGGAAGTAGGAACAGGTTCTCATTTAGTCATCTGTTCCCAAATTATAGTTGTACTGCCTGTTCTTCAGAGAGGAAAGAAAGGAGCATTTCTATCATTTCTCTTGAACCAGACTAACTACTGCCTACTTAATCTTATGGTCTGTGTAATTCCTAGACACCATCCCTTTTGAGACATTTTCAGCAGTGCAAAAATCTGTGACATACTGGCCCCTTAAGGACAAATGTAGTGGAAAGCTAATTTGAATTAATTTGAAAGTAAATAACAAAGATCAATCTTAAAATTTATAATCTCTCTGACATACTTACCCTAGAGTTAAAGCTTGTCTCCACACTCCAGCGAAGGGGTATTCTCCAAATGAAAGGGTGCTAGAAGAACCTGAGTTAGCATCTGAATTGAAAATAAAATCCTAATTTCAGCAACCCTGCATTTTAAATCAGTGCAACACTCAAATTTTTCACAGAAATGTGACTTTTAGTGATTCTGGTAATGAATTACAGATAAACATTTAAGTGTTGGGAGCAAAAGATTGGTTCCGAGCTGTCCCAACAGTGGGGCAGGGTGTCCTGTGGCCCTGCCCAACTCACCAATGTAGAGCTGGGGCAGCACGGCCCCAGCCTGCTGGGTTGTACTGGAGTGCACTGGGATATAGTGGGCCCATCTGGTTTATACAGGTCTGGACTGGGTTGTATGGATTGCACCAGGTTTAGACAGGGGCTGTAGGGAGATATGCTGAAACTTACTTGGTTTGTTCAGTCTAGAGAAGAGTGAGGGGACACCTCACTGTGCTCTTCAACATCTTCACAAAGGGAAGTGGAAGGGTAGATATAAGATTATAAGATCTCTTCACTCTCACAACCAGTGACAGGACTCAAGGAAATGGCCTGAAGCTGAGTCAGGGGAGGCTTAGCTTGGATACCAGGACAAGATTCTTCACCCAGAGAGTGGTTGGGCACTGGAACAGGCTCCCCAGGGAAGTGGTCATAGCACCAAGCCTGACAAGAATTCCAGAAGTGTTTGGACGACACTCGGGCGCAAGGCTTTACTTTTGGTGCTGTGCAGCGCTGGGAGCTGGACTTTGATGATTTTTGTGGATCCCTTCCAGCTCAGGGTATTTCATGATACTGAGCTAAACTGGTTGATACTGGCCTGGCCTGGGTTATACTGGGATGGACTGCGATATACTGGCCTGGACTCAGTTTAGGCTGGGGTAACAGGGAAATACCGGGACCTCCTGGGCCCGACTGCTTCCACAGCCCCGCTCCGCCGCCCTTCGCGCGCCCCTCCTCACGCGGCCCTCCCGGCGCCGCGCGCACGCGCCCAGCCGCCCGCTCGCGCGCCGCCGCCACTTGTTTTGGAGGCGCGCGT